TTTAAATTATTTTTTTATGATCATTAAGGTTAAGTATTTTAATTTTGAATCTGTCTTAAATTATGATAGTATTTATTAGTGAATTTAATTTTTAAAGTTTTAGTAGATAAATTTTATTTATTAATAATAAAACTATATTATATAATTTAAACTGTATCAAATTATATAATACTTTCTGAATCATCTTAATATTAAAGTTATTTATAATTTATTAATCTTTATTTTATAATTTGATGCAGTCTAAATTAAAAAAAAAGAAAAGAAAACTCTATTAACAATACCATCTATCTATATTTATAATCTTACCAAAATTAATTCCGCTGAGTTATCATGTTCTAACTTTTGATCTGTTCATCATTATTTCTTCGTACCAAGCAACCTAAGATGTTTAACTATGCCCTGTGGTAGTCTTGATAAAAATTGAAAGATATATATTGCTTGTGAAAAACAAACAAGCAAAGTGCAACACATTGTTGTCCAGCGGTCATTCTCTTTTGAAAGATTATACAAAAGCTAAGTATTAAGATCAACGCCCAGGGATTTTATCCACTATCCCAAAATTTCCCTGGTTCAGAAAAGAAAGTGAAAAACAAACAAACATCAAATCATTGAAACTCATATATATAAATGTCCAATAGTGACACTACAATACAGATGAAATTAAGAAAAAATGGGGAAAAAAAAATCTTCATGAGATTATAACTCATTACCCAAAAAAGACAAGCCATAAACATCAACACAGCCTTGAAAGAAAGATGCCCAGTCTTTTTCCATTAGGTAAAGAAAGAAGATTTAAGTTGATATCTTTAGATCTTTTTGAGTATTGGAAGTGTGTTAGTGTTTGAAGTTTGGCATAATACTTTTTCAGAAAGAAAAGTTAATTTAAGCATGGGTAAAGAAGAAGCTTCCTATAAGAATATTGCAGGAAAAAAGCTGGCACATGCACCATAAAACAAAAATGGATATGCCAACAAACTTTTCCCTACTAATTTTTCACCAAATTCATCAAGGAGAGAGTGATATCAAAGCTTTCTACAGAATTAAAGTGAAAATTCTTGCCACCCATCTTAGGCAAAGAAAATATAATTAATATTTTTCTAATATAGAGATATAGATGTACTCCTTTTAATTATAAATGAATTGTCTATTTTTCATTAAAAAAATAAAAGAGTGAGGTTATATAATGAGGTCTTGATCTAATAAATATATAATAAACACGTTGAGATATCCTCAACCAAATCTCTTATTCGAGAAAAGAATATAAAGCAAAGTTAGGTGAACAGTAAAAAATTCTCAAATTGAAAGAATATCTTCCTATCTAATTTGTCTGTTCAAGTATCAAACACTTTGTTTGGTGATCTGCTATGCATTGCTAAGCATATGTATAATAATGTAGTTGGTTTATGGTAGTTGGAGATTAGTTTGTAGTTGATACAGTTATTGAAGGACTATACCTAATTTTAGTCTTTTTGTGACTTAAAACTTAGGCTATCCAAAGTCAAAACTCTTTCCTTTGACAATAACATAACAAATTTCTTGTCCTAATTCATTTATTTATATTTGAACTTTTGTATCATGCTTTTCTAATATAGAAACTTCTTCTACCAAATAATTACACCCATCATGCAACATTTTAAGACAAGATTTCAGTTCTAATGAAAGTAGTAAAATTGCAAGCTGTGAGAATTGTTTCTTATAGAAGTTCAAATTTTAAAAGCTTGAGAAAGATGATCAAATGGCTCAAATACAAATTTTGAAGTAGGTGAGAAAATAATTTCTTGTTGTATGACAAAATCCCAGTATAGTTGAAAACTTGAAATGTTCATAAATCAATGATATGGTATTATGTTTTTTATATAAAGAAATTTAAGCCCCATCAAGAATGTAGATTTATTGTTGCTTTCCTTAAAATTTTCAATTACTAAAGACTAAAGTTCAAGTGAGGTAGATTTACTGATGATTCTGATTTAAGTTCAGAAACAATTTATGAGTAATTTTTAGAATTTTGCAAAAAATTCAAAAATCCTCCGAAGAAAACAATTAACCTAGTTAAGGATCATGTTGGCATAACAACATGACATACAAAATGTCAGGTATATCTCTAGGTACCTTAACAAGACAAATACTCCCAGATCCCATTTCTTTGAAGTAATCAAATCTAAGCGGTGGTAAAATAAAATTCAAAGACTAGTTCTTTTGCCCCACAATTAATTGCAAATGGCAGATAACCTCCTCCACACAATAATGAAAGTTTTTTTTTTTTCTTTAAAACTTTGGGATTAAAGAATTTAAAAAAAGTGTTTTAATTGAATAAGGACAAATACCCTAATACTAAAACCATCTCTAAATTTTAATAAATTTTATTTTATAATTTTTGAAAACTAATTTACAAGATAAATTGTATGAAGTTTGTCTTATAAAATTATTTAAATATTTTTAATAAAATAATATAAAAATAAATTAAAGACATTTAATTAATTTTATAAGATAAACCGTATATACCGTAAAACAATTTTCTCTTATAATTTAATACACTTTAAATACAAAACTGAGGATGGTTAGAATTGTATTTATGTTTTTCATCTTCCTGCTCGTTAAAGCAACGGCTGTGATACCCTCCTGGGTAGCTTTGAGTGCAATCCTGATATGGTCCCACTTTTCTAGGCCCAAAATTTGAATTTACCATCTCCGTGACCCCACATTTACCTCTTCATAATGGGTTCAAACTCTCAGACCCGGCTTCCATTTCAACTTAGCATCACTCCCTTTGGGACAGCTCCAAGGCCCTTGTAAGTTTCCCTTGTTGGTTTTATTGTTCTCCTCTCACCACTCTTTTTGGACTTTTGTACATATAATGTGTGTTCTGCATTTGTTTATTTTCTCGTTGTTATGGCATCTTTAGTTCTCTTCCTGGGTGTCTAAGGTTGTTCATCCATTTTTTGTGGTAAAGACTTAATCTTCATGTTTTGGCTGTTGATGGGTGTCTCCTCCTTTCCATTTTGAAGTTAAAGTTTTCCCATTTTCACATTTCTTGGTGAAATCTCAAATCTTTCTTCGCAGTTCTTGTTAGTAGGGACGTTTCATTTTTACGTTTTGAATCGAAGTTTTATTCATTATGATATTGTCATTGATGGGTATATTTTGTTCCTTCAATTGAGGAAAAAATAGAGCATTAATCTTCTTCTTCTCTTTTCCTTCCATTTTCCGGTTTAATTTTTTATGTTATTTTTCAGAGGAAGTAGATTGGTGATGTGGTGAGTGGAGATAAGGGGCAGAAGATGGAAGTGGAAAAAATGTTGAGCACCCCACATAGTGCCAGGATCCGGCAATCGTATTCACTGGTAAATGGGACCCCAGATCTCGGCTCAAATAGCACGCCGGCAAGTACTGCAGGCTCAGAATATGGTGGCATTGAGTTCACAAGAGAGGATGTTGAGGCCCTTTTGACTGAGAAAATGAGATGCAAAAGCAAATTTAACTACAAGGTCAGTACTCGTCTGCTTGTGTGTGTTCTGTGTATTGTGTAGGGTGGTTTACCTGAAATTGGTATTTAATTGGTTGTTTTGGTTCCTCAGGAGAGATGTGAGAATATGACGGACTATATAAAGAGGCTAAGGCTCTGTATTAAATGGTTCCTAGAACTTGAAACAGAGTACGCATATGAACAGGAAAAGTTGAGGAATGCTTTGGAATTGACTGAGAGGAGATGTGATGAAATGGGTATGAGTGACTTATTTACTTTGTTTTATGCAATCCATAATCATATTGTTTCAATGTCCATTAATGTAAAGTGATGTTTTCATTGTAGAGTTGACTTTGAGAAACAAGGAGGAAGAATTGAATTTGATAATTTTGGAATTGAGAAAGAGTTTAGCTTCTGTACAGGAAAAACTCACAAAAGAAGAATTGGATAAGTTGGTAAGAAGGCAAACTACTTTAGTCTAATTTATCTTGGAGTCATATAGCTTTTATGGCAGCATCTCATGTTTACCATCCTTTCAAATGTCACATTCAGGCCACAATGGATTCTCTTGCAAAAGAGAAAGAAGCTAGAACTAGTATTGAGAAGAAACAGGCTTATCTCTCAGAAGAGCTTGGTAAAGTTCAAGGGGAGCTTGATAGTGCCAATCAAAGGGTAATATAAGAATTGGCCTTGATCTTGAAATTCTTTGCAGCTTGGCTTTTCTTCAGAAAATTTACTCCAGCTTAACATTATGATTTGCCATTCTTGAAAATGTAGATAGTATCAGTTAATGATATGTACAAGTTACTACAAGAGTACAACTCAAGCTTACAGGTTTACAATAGTAAACTCCAAGCAGATCTTGATACGGCCAATGAAGCCATAAAGCGTGGAGAGAAAGAGAAAGCATCCATCATTGAGAATCTTGGCATCTTAAGGGGTCAATGTACATCATTGCAAGAACAACTTACTTTGTCCAAAGTGAGCCTCCTCCTTTAGCATACTTTTATCACATGCCATAATGTAGTCTTTCTGCATCTCATGGAGTAAAATAGTTGATTGTTGACAACAAATTTTTCACTAGTAGATTTGGAGATAAGCTGCTAAAGATCTGTCTGCATTCAGGTCATTGAGAAGCTTAGCTTGGTTTACTTGTTTAACAAAGTAATGAAGTTTGAGTTTGGCATTTGGTCTTTAAGCAAACTTGACTTTTTCTGTTTTGTGCTTGAAAGCTTGTGAGCAGAATTTGCAGTGATCTTAAGCTTGGATATCAATTGAGTCAAGCTCAAGTTAGCATGCATTCCTTTTTGGAATGAGCTCAAAGAGAGGGCGAAGGTTTAAGGTCCTTAATGGCCCCCTCCTAATGAAAAATAAGAAGCAATTTGCTGTGTTCTTCTGTTTACTTTATTTCTCATAACTGAAAAAAGTTGAGGAGTGGTAGCAGGATTTGATGCCTTGATCAATTTCTTTTGTGCATATCTTTTATTATTTATGATTTTATGTACAAACTTTATGTCTTGATCTCCTGGAAAATTTATTAATTTGATTAGGCTTCCCAAGATGACGCTATCAAGCAAAAAGATGCTTTGGTGAATGAGGTTGCAAGTCTTAGGATTAAGCTGCAACAGGTCAAAGATGATCGTGACCAACAGCAACTGGATGTGCAGCGTTTAACAGCTGAAATAGCTAAAACTAAAGAATTAGCTAACAACTCTAATGAGTTGGAGGTTAGTTTTCAGTTTTCATTTACTTTGTTCTCCCACTAATGCCTCCATACTTTTACCGATGCATTTGGTCAGATATATTTGGTTTTCTTTTACAGGCAAAATGTTTTTCACAAAATAATCAGATTCAGATACTGCATGATCAACTAGCAGTTGCAGAGAGGAAATTGCAGGTTATATTTTATGCAGGAAGTTTTTCGTTAATCCTTAGTGTGTGTGTGTGTGTGTGATTAAGTCATTGGGCTTCATAACTTAAATAATCTTGTTTATCCCTTTAGGTGTCTGATATATCTGCTCTTGAGACAAGATTTGAATTTGAAGAACAAAAGAAGCTCATAAGAGAGTTACAAAACCGCTTAGATGATGCAGAATTTAAACTCATTGAAGGGGAGAAATTACGGAAGAAGTTGCATAATACTATCTTGGTAATGTTCTGAACTATATCTTTCATTAGAATCCAATACATAACTTCAACTAACAGAATGCTTTACATTATAGGAATTGAAAGGGAACATCCGTGTGTTCTGTAGAGTACGGCCTCTGCTATTTGATGATAGTTGTAGTGATCAGGGGAAAGTTCTATCCTATCCCTCATCAATGGAAACTCTAGGGCGGGCTATTGATTTGACGCATAATGGTAATGGCCCGATAGATTTACTTTGCAAAAAGTCATTTTTGAGCAGCTATGGTTTTCTTTTCTGTAGTTTTCAAAGGGGTTTTGAAAATTAAACTCATTTAATATTTGTATTGTTATCAGGTCAAAAACATGCTTTCACATTTGACAAAGTATTTATGCCTGAAGAATCACAAGAGGATGTGTTTGTAGAAATTTCACAACTTGTTCAAAGTGCTCTTGATGGTTATAAGGTGATAATTTAGTAAGCCCCAGTTATCAGTTTTTCCATGTAGTTCATTTGAATTTCTATGGAAGTTGCTAAATATGCACAGTGCATTAGCCGCACGTTATGCTTCAAAAGTGTTGGTTTAATCTTTTTCTAGGTTTGCATTTTTGCTTACGGCCAAACTGGCTCTGGTAAAACCTATACAATGATGGGCAGACCAGGACACCAAGAAGAAAAAGGGTTGATACCTCGGTCGCTAGAACAGATATTTCAAACCAAGCAGAATCTTCAACCTCAAGGATGGAAATATGAAATGCAGGTGAGCAGTGATAATTTTTCTCCTTATTCAGTTTTTCGCCTATTCATATGTTTGATAGATAATTGTTTAACGTTTCTACCAAATCTATTTAGGTGTCGATGTTAGAAATATACAATGAAACAATTCGTGATTTGTTGTCAACAAACCAAGATGCTTCACGAACAGAAAATGGTTCTGCTGGAAAACAATATGCTATTAAACATGATGGAAATGGGAACACACATGTCTCCGATCTTACCATTGTGGATGTTCAAAGTACTAGAGAGGTTTCATATCTTTTGGATAGAGCTGCACGTAGCAGGTAAATATTTTAGAACATGCATCTACTGTCCTTCTCTACTCACGATCACTATATAACTATTTTTCTTTTAGGATCATGTTGCTCAAAGTGGCTTTGTTGCTATTAAATTTCCATATTCAACCTTCCATGATTTTAGGAAAGAATACTTAAGCATGCATTTGATCTACTTTTGAGAATTTCAAGTGACACAGTTGCATTTGTCTACTTCAGATCGGTAGGCAAGACCCAGATGAATGAGGAATCATCAAGAAGCCATTTCGTGTTTACAATGCGAATATCTGGTGTTAATGAGGTAGATACTAGATAGACACTAGTTCAGTCACATTATTTTCCTTAAAAGTTCCAATTCTTGGTATCATATTTGTCTTAACTATGCCTTACTTATCCACTAGACCACCGACCAACAAGTTCAAGGTGTCTTAAATCTAATTGATCTCGCTGGGAGTGAGCGCCTATCAAAGAGTGGTTCAACTGGCGACCGTTTAAAAGAAACTCAGGTACGTGAGAAGGTATATTCATTCAATTTCGTTATGCCTTTTTTCATGGTTACTTTTAGTAATGAGACTTCTTATTTTTCGAATTTATCAGGCCATCAATAAAAGTTTATCATCTTTAGCTGATGTTATATTTGCCTTGGCAAAGAGGGAAGATCATGTACCATTTAGGAACTCCAAGCTTACCTATCTTCTTCAGGTAATTGCTTAAGAGACTATGGACCAAAACTTAGCAGGAAGAATGAGAAAGCAACTAGAAATTCTTTATATTTTTGTTGCTTCCATTGTTTTACATGATTCTTGATGCCGTTTTTGATTCTTTTCTTTAATTATGTGGTTAATCAGCCATGTTTAGGCGGGGACTCGAAGACTTTGATGTTTGTAAACATCTCCCCTGAAGTTTCCTCAGCGGGGGAGTCCCTGTGTTCACTGCGTTTTGCAGCCAGGGTGAATGCTTGCGAGATAGGAACTCCACGACGTCAATCCAACATCCGGGTAGAACCCGGACGCTTTTGCTAGGGGCTGACATGACCTTCCATAAAAATAGAACATTTTGTTTCTTCCTTCCCTTTCACTAAGTTATCAGTGTCTTCGTTCACTAAGTCACCCTAACATGAGCTGTTTGTTGTAATTTGTATAGTAATCATTGCATTTGTATCATTAAAAAAAAAGATTGAAAGATCTTGATTTCCTTCGTACTTACATAACAAAAATTCAGGGCAATGTTGACTAGGGCTTGTTTGTTCGACGATGCAATTGCAGCTTAGATTGTTAAACTACAAAAACGCTAGAAGGAGGGCTTGAACCTCCGACCTTGTGGTTAACAGCCACACGCTCTAACCAACTGAGCTATTCCAGCTGAAGGTACTGAAACATTTGTTCTTTTAATATTTATTCATTAAGTGGGTAACAAAAAAACCAATGCCAAATATATGGACTTAGACCATTTGTCGATTCTCATCCATCCTCTGGTTATTGGAACGGCAAAACAATATTAAAATTATGGAACCAAAAATTCATGTTGAAGGAATTAGTAATTTCTTTAGGGTTTTTGTTTCCCTATGGAGGCAAGATTTGATTAATTGACATTTTTGGCAATATTTGTAATACTAATATCTCCCGTTGTGAATTAAACTAAAAAAAATTTGGTTATAAAAATATTTTTGTTTCAAAAACTATAAATAGATTATTATTTTTTAATATTGAAACCATTAAGTCCCATCATTGTCTTTTCTTTATTAAAGTTAATTACCTAGG